GCATATACCTACACATATACAACAACAAAAAACTATGCAAAGAATAGTTAAGATTTAAACATGTTTAACTTATAAAGACGTAAACTGAGCTGAAATATGTTAAAAATGAAAACTAAGTAGGTTTTTAGTGATGTTTTAATTAAAATTCCAGGTTTAATCTAAACTTTACCTGCAGGATTTCAGCTCCAGACATGAAAAATATGTTTTAATCTGGATTTATTTTGGTTTTTTTTTAAACAAATAGATTTTAATTTCCAAGCTTCAACTCAGCTAAAAGTCCTATTTTAACTTAAATTCTAGTTTCTTTGACTTCAGTAACTCATATTTTCAATTTGTGCTCTTTAAGTTTAAGTTAAGATTTTCTGAACCACTTTCTGACTCCTGAGGCTCCGCCCCCTGTCTCCTATAGTCCCAGTGCATGCTGGGAGTTGTAGTCACTGCCCGCCCCTCCTCCCACTGTGTCTCTGCTGATGATGTCAGTCCGTCCACCTCCTCAGCACTGAATCGATGTCGGTGGAAACCTGGAAGTGCAGTTCGGAGGTTTTCACTCTGCAGAAACAATGTAGCTCCATGAAACATGAAACACGTCGACGTTAAAAACAAACTGTTGAGTCGCTGAGAACAAGAGTAAAAATATTTACATTTATTTTTCTGTCCTGTGAGAATCAGCCTGCACAGTCAACGTCTCACCTGTTCTGAGTTTTGATCGTTTTTAAAACCAATCATCAGCATCTATTCTAAAGTGTTAACGTGTCCTCAGTTTTTCAGCGTTAAATACACAAAAACCCAAAAAGCATGATGACAAAACTCTATCAACAAACATTTTTTGGTTGAAGCCGTAAAAAGAAACAATGTCCTGACAGAAGACGTGTTAATTTATAGAAATTATTTTATTAGCTGTTTCATTTTCACTTCTCTTTAGAAAATTAATGACATTACTTAAATTGTTTGGAAACTTCCTGTGAACTTCACATTAAAAGCTTTTTTTTAAGTTGTGTTTACTAAATGTTGGTTCTTGAAACCAATTAAAGAAAAATTAAATAAAATGTCAGTCGAACTAAATCCAACCAAATGAGTTTTAGTTTTTGTGCAGATTGAAGTGTTGGTCTCAGATCAGATCTGATGTCTCTGCAGGCCGGTTCTCCTGAGGAAACCGGTCCTCTCTCAGACCCTGAGGGTCCAGCAGGTCCTGGTTCTGAGCTGGTTTTAGCTGCTCCTGGTTCTCAGCGATGCTCAGAACCGATCCGTACTGCCCGACCCAGACGTGTTTCAGACTGATCATTAAACATTCATCTGAATTCACTTTAATATTTAACATTTAGTGATCAGAATCACGTGTTATATAAATACATTAAATGTAGAAATAAATATTTAAATATTTATTCTGAAATGAAGTAAATCTATAGCCAGTAGAGTTATATTAAAGTTTTTATATAAATTATTCACTTCATGGTGCTTTTATTTTCTCATAATTAAATAAAAATCAGGGTTTTCTGATGGGTGTTAGAGGATTAAAGTGTCCTGAAGTAAAACATGTTTTTATAAATGAAAATAAATTATTTAACTTTTTGTGCTCATTGTGTTCAGCTTTGACTCAAATACTCATTTATTAACAAACTGATCTGAAGTTTAAACTCATTAATGGAGTATTTTATCATGGGCTTTTTTATTTTTCATTTAGGGTTTTGTTTGTTAAATTAGTCACAGCAGCCACAAAACAGCTGAGTCATTCTTTTAGTATTTCTTTTAATTATTGTAATGCAGCTCACCATGATATTATGTCATTCTTTAATGATGTAATGTGACATTCTTTGATGTCATGTGACATTCTTTGATGATGTAATGTGACATTCTTTGATGATGTAATGTGACATTCTTTGATGTCATGTGACATTCTTTGATGATGTCATGTGACATTCTTTGATGATGTCACGTGACATTCCTTGATGATGTAATGTGACATTCCTTGATGATGTAATGTGACATTCCTTGATGATGTAATGTGACATTATTTGATGATGTCATGTTTGTGTTGTACAGATGCACTTTTTCTGGTCAGTTTGTCCTCAGATGGACAGTTTCGTGCTGTAAAGACAGAAACTGAACCTGTTTCCTCCGACTTGTGAACTCCGTCACTCTGCTCTGTGATTGGTCGATTGTAATCGCCCGACTCGGACCGTCTGTTTTTTGACTCGGGTCGAGTCCGTTTCTCTTGTTGCTGTGAACTTTGGAGGAAATGTTCTGATTAAGGACGATTTGTTTATTTTTGGCACTTAAACCTCATCAGATCAAATAAATGTTTTGTGTAACTGAGCTTAACGTGCACACCTGTCGTACCTGTTCAGCAAATCTGCTTAGAGGAGTTTACAGTAATAAATCAATATTTATTTCACTTTTATTGTCTGTGTTCTTTTTATCATCTGATTTATTTTTCATCTTGTGGCAAAACAATGTTTTAAGTTTGCAACCTGCAGACCAGGAGAGGTCATTAAAAACTGAGACCAGGTGTGGTTTGACACTGAGTCCAGGTGGAGTTTGACAGCTGGTTATCAGAAACCAGGTGTGATTACAGGAAACTTAGACTATGTGTGATAATCAAAAACCAAGACCAGATGTAAAGATTGAGACCAAGTGTTATTGCAAAAGTAGACCAGATGTGGTCATCAAAAGTTGTGGTGTGGTCATTAAAAACATAGACCAGGTGTGGTAAAGATTGAGATCAGGTGTCATTATTGGAAACTAAGACCAGGAGTAGTCTTTAAAACTGAGACCAGGTGGGGTTTGACAGGTGGTTATCAGAAAGCAGGTGAGATGACAGGAAACTGAGACCAGGGTTGGTAATCAAAAACTGAGCCCAGAGGTCAGACCAGGTGTTTTTATTGGAAAAGTGGACCAGAGGTGGTCATCAAAAATTGTGGTGTTGTCATTAAAAACTGAGACTAGGTGTGTTAAAGACCATTTACTGAAACTGGAAACAGACCAGGTGTGGTCATTCAGAAACATAAACCAGGTGTGGTCATTCAGAAACATAAACCAGGTGTGGTCATTCAGAAACATAAACCAGGTGTGGTCATTCAGAAACATAAACCAGGTGTGGTCATTCAGAAACATAAACCAGGTGTGGTCATTCAGAAACAT